GCTTAGTTAGTCTAGGTTGTTATTAATTATGGCTGTCGGAACAATTTATTTAAATTCACAAATGGCTTCCTATTACAGATTTCACATGCATAATAAACTTTACAGTCATGTTTATACAACACAGTTATTAAACCTTGCGGATGTATAAAGAATATTTTATTGCTTTATGCAAATAAACTCGGTCTTTGATAGGCATGGGATTTTTAATTTATCACCTATTAAAATAATGTCTGCTGCAGCTTTTATAAAGATTGAATTATCCGCAGACTTTTTCCTGCAGCGATATTTTCAATCAGTTACTGGTTTTTTTGCATATTTAACGGGGAATACACAATTACACAAGCTATGTGTTTGTAGGTACTTATCCTCATTGACTCGCTCCAAAAATGGGGGATAGTAAAAAATCTTTCATAAATCTCCTTTGAGTTCATAGCACTGAAACCCCGTGTAAGAAACCACAGAATGTATGGGTTCTGGAAAAAAGACACAATCTCTATTTCTTGACTGTGAATGTATCCAACAAATCTATTGCTAATTGGTCTATAAAGATTATTTCAGCTTACTCAATTTGATTGACAATTTACGTAGTTTGCTAGTTTTGGATGATTTTAAATCCCCCAAATCACCCAGTCCAAGTATGACCAATTAATTTGTTACCTGTTATATAGAATCGCATTACCTAATGCCCGTGCTTTATTGCAATAATAATGGAATGCGAAAGTATAAAAGTAATGGAGATAGTTCCTCATTTGGATGAAATATCGCAATAAAATCTGTAAAAAAAAAATATTTTTCGCTTCGCACAAACATAATTACAAGCGATTTACGTATTTTATAATTAGAATGGATTGAAATTATTATTTTACGTCTCGATTGAAATGTTGACTTATTAATCACAGAGACATTTATTGCCTATATGTTTTGTAACCAATTAAAGTTTCTGCCAATTTTCTTCGTGTCGTAACTAATAAATACCGATTGTCGAGTGACATAATGATGAATTGGCCGGTTAATGATAATTGTGACCAGTTGTCGCCTGACCTTAATGATTAACGCAATTTATCATGGCACATTGGTTTTAATGTGAGAGAAACTTTCGGTGTAATATTATTTTACTTGCATGCTGCGATAACAGGTTGACTATGGCGAGATTAATTTTTAATTGTAATGGTAAGTGGATTCGTCGTTTCAGCCAAATAACGTCCACTGCTGGACAAAGGCCTCCCCCAAGGATTTCCAAAACGACCGGTCCCGCATCCAGGTACCTCCCGAGATTTTCACCAGGTCGTCGGTTCACCTAGTAGGGCAACTGCCCACATATATGTCTTCCGGCCCAGTGTGGACATTGAAAGTAAGAAAGTAAGATACAAGAAACAACGGTAATAAATCATCTGTTGATTTATTCACACAATGCTTAAATTATTCTACCTTATTATTTTATTTTGTAAGCTTAAATTTTCATTTTCATTTTACAAGGACGTGTTGGTATGATTAATTTGTCGTAAATCATACTTCAAATATTCCCACAGCACTAATGTGTGCGTTTAGCGCATTTGTCAGACGGGCATTTAAATCAACGTCATTATTTACCTGTCATTTGGCATTACTGCGCCAATCACTTCATTGTTCAGTGACATTTAATAAGTTACGATACTGGCGTGTACAAAAGAGAACAGCAATTTAATTTTAAATGTGAGCTGTAATGGGCCTCGGTTCCAAAATTGGCTTTTGCAGCCTTTTTGTGAGCTACCATAGCCGCCCATTGCTTATGTACTTACATGTTTATAGAAAGTTTGTAGGCTTAATAAGAAAGTAGGTATACCAAGAGATTCCTCGTAGTTGATAAAAAAATATATTTTCTCGAGCAAAAAAAGGAACCTACTTCTATTTCTAAATAATGGGTAAGAATATTCGTATAATGAGGACTAGGATAAAACTTACCCTTGACAATGCAAAAATATTTTGAAATCAATTACGTAGAGTGATTTACGAATGATGATGAAGAAAGATGGAACACACCAGGAACCTGGTGAATATTCTTGTTACCAATTTAAGTTACAGTCAACGTCTAAATAATTCGTGCGAACCAAAGTAGTCAAAAAGTTCGACACACGTCTTGTTACAATTGGAATAAGGTTGTGTTTTCAACGTTTTGGCCACTGTAGGTGTCACGAACAATTTGATGCTGACTATACTTCAAAAAAGATTGGGTGCCCAATGAGCTGGCTCTTCTCTTTATGTTACAAACATTAATGTTAACCATTCGCGCGGTTTCGAAACTCCAGTGACAAATGTTAATGGCGTCAGAAAAAGAATAATTATTGACACAATCTGTGGGCGACGCAGATTATTAAATTATGGCCGCGAATTGAAACGTTGGTCGACGTAACTTCCATACTAATAGTATAACTTTGTCTGTCTGTATTGTCACCTTTTCACGCCTAAACCACTGAACAGATTTAGATAAAATTGAGCGAGAGTTTAGAGAGAGAGTTTAAGACACGAGGAAAAGCATAGTTTTTTTTTTAAAGGAAACGCGAACGCGGAAAATTATCTGTGGCAGATAGAAATCCACGCGAGCGAAGCCGTGGGCAAAAGCTCGTTTCCCATAAAGTTGGATGGCTTGTTAGAGCGGGAAATTAAACTTGTATGTATGTCAATTGATGAATTAATGAGTTTTGATAGCAATTAGAAAACTGTTAGCTTGTTGACGATTATGTTAATCAATAACTTAATCAAATTAAGTGATCGGAGCCAATATAACCATAACATTTTTATGATAATTCAAGGCGAGTGTGGGTGGAAATTATCATTGGGTTTTATCGGGTAATTTAATATTGTTGGTGAACAAAATAATGGACGCCTTATTCGTAGTTAGAGAGCTATGCTATGGGACCTTAGTGTTATACCAGGAATGGTTTATGTTTTTTTAAAGGTCACTGGAAGCATTTGGATGCGGGTAAGTAACGCAGGACCGGTATAGTAGTGGAAATCCTTGGGGGAGGTCTCTATCCCTTGCAGTATATGTCCTTTAGCTTATCTTATTTAATGTAGAGCGTCTTAGTTTTAGGTTTTGTAATTGATGTGATTATTGAATCTTCTTCTTCTTCTGCCTTTCTTCATCCCGTTCATCATCATCATCATCATTTCAGCTATAGGACGTCCACTGCTGAAGATAGGCCTCCCCTAATGATTTCCATGTTGATCGATTGGTAGCGGCCTGCGTCCAGCGCCTTCCTGCTACCTTTATGATGTCGCTTATCCATTTAAGCTGATGTAATTATTGAAATGATTTATTATGATCTATTTAAACGAACAACCAATACTGGAGAAAAAAGCTTCAGGACCTAAGTTGTTAGCACACTTCGCTTGTGGCTTGTATTGTGACCCAACACGGATGATTAATGTCCGTACTCGCGCGTTCATAAATCGCGCTTGCACCACCCTTCACTTTGTCTACAGTTGTCTTGGTGTACAATGACGACATACATTATACTTATTATCCATTCTTATATTATATTATACGAAAGTAACTATCGCCCGTATTCACATACGATGCTTGCTTAAGTGAAGCAGCAAATCGAACGCACAGCGTTAAATAGAGCTCTGTGATTGGTTCGTGTGTCACCCTGTGCGTCCACGCGCACTGTGAGACCTCATAGTAATGTTTGTGAATACGGGCGTATGTATTTGTTTCCTTTTCTCGCTTAAACCACTGAACGGATTTAAGAGATACGGGACTATTCCCACCTATCTTTGCCACCACTGCAACTCCTGTGAAGCCAGGATCTACAGCTTGAACAAAAAATTTAACCAGTGAAGGTCAAGTTTGTCCCGGAGGAAAACCTGTCATTGGACCCGCAACGAAATTAATCAGAAAAACATAGGATGAATTCGAAGTTAACCTTTAACCGACGACGTGATTTTTTTGTCACGCCGTCTGCGACGTGCGGTCTGTGGGACCGCTATACTGTGTACTCAAAAAGTAATATTTTTTTGTATAAAAGTATATTGGTTTTATATTTTTTGATAACATTATAGTATTACAAATAAACATACGTATAATTTGCGAGGAGTCAATGTATATTTTTTATTTAAATATGACTAAAACTTTTTTGACCCTTAATTTCATTGAAATTACACTAGAGCTCAATAATACCTATTGTTTCGAGCTCANGGTCTAGCGCATAACTCAGTCAGTCAGTGGTGCTATAGGTCTAGCGCATAACTCAGTCAGTGGTGCTATAGGTCTAGCGCATAACTCAGTCAGTGGTGCTATGGGTCTAGCGCATAACTCAGTCAGCAGTGCAATAGGTCTAGCACATAACTCAGTCAGCGGTGCTATAGGTCTAGCGCATAACTCGGTCAGTGGTGCTATAGGTCTAGCGCATAGCCCAGTCAGTGGTGCTATAGGTCTAGCGCACAACTTAGTCAGTGGTGCTATAGGTCTAGCGCATAACTCAGTCGGTGGTACTATAGGTCTAGTGCATAACTCAATCAGTGGTGCTATAGGTCTAGCGCATAACTTAGCCAATATCTGAGTTATGGAAGCGGCACGGGAGGGTGTTTTTGATACGTCAAATGTCAGCAAAACTAGATTTTTATGCTCTGTCAAATCATAAATGTCAACATCACCCCTCCTGTGCCGCTCCCACATCTCAGTTACTGACTCATTTAAGCACTATACCTAATAAAATATTTTTGTAATTGTCACAACTCACAACCATAGATCACAGAAACTAAAGGGAGATGTGACAAGGGGGCGTGGCCGGTGTCGCAGCAATATGCCCAAAAATAGAACACATTGCTGCAGACGTCATAACGTAAACAGTTTACATTGCATGCGTAGTACTAAAGATTATTCGAACGTTGAGTACTGATACCGCAGAGTGGATAATGAGCACATATTTTGATTACTTTGTGTGTGTGAATTTCTAATGCGACACTGAGTTTCGAACTCAGCGCATTAGTCGGCATCTCTCTATATCTCTATGGTAACAATGTTTTGTTTGACAGGTCGTCCAACTGACAGGAGAGACGGCCACCGATCACAAGTTGCTGAACAAAGGACAGATCATCATCACCACTGCTGAGAAGTGGGATGTTCTGTCCAGAAGGTAAGCTATTTATTTATAGGTCATCATTAAATCAAATCAAAAATATTTATGCAATTTTGACTAGTATTTTGGTACTTACGAACATCAAAAAAAGATAGCCCTTAATTAAAGGGCCCTTAGTTTCGAGACAAACATTATGGCAAATGCTGAGAAGTGGTCTTAAAAACTTAATTAATTTTAAATTACCAGTAAATTAAAAATTTTGTTTGCATTGTAATGAGGGCTATCGTTTTAGCGCTCACCAGTTGGCGCCACTGTAGAGTAAGGTCCTGTCACTTGCTAGTAGCGAAGACAGTGGTGCCAACTGGTGAGCGCTAAAGTGGAAGGAGGACTATCGCATTTGCACTCATCAAGATGGCGCCACTGTAGAGTAAGGTCCTGTCAATCGCCAGGGGTGCCAACTGTTAGGTATAAAAACGATAGCCCTCATTGAAAAAATTGCCATACAAAATCTATGGGAGTCTCGTTTTGACAGTTTTGTGTCCAAACAACTGCACGCAGGAAGATTTAATGAAGGCTACTGACAACGCCACTCTTGTGGCTGAGTTTTGGGCTGACGCTGTGTAGGTTTGTTGTCGACACGACAAGAAGAAGAAGTTTTAAAAAGTACACACGGCCACACTGTTAACTATCCATTTCTGTTTTTGCTCTCGCTCTAATCAAATGGTGATTCTTTGCGATAGAACGAGATGACCTGACTGGCAATGGGCAGTTAACACTGATAGTACGTCAATTGATTGGTGGTGTCAACACGTCTATTGATGTTTTCCAGGTGGAAAGTCCGTAAGAGCGTGCAAAGCGTGTCGCTCTTCATAGTGGACGCGCTACAACTGCTGGGAGGCGAGGAAGGCCCGGTGCTCGAGGTCGTCTGCTCCAGGATGAGATACATAGCTTCTCAGATCGGTAAGTGGTTTCTTTTTTTTCTTTTCTATAAGTATGTTGTAATTTTTCGACATCCCTTATCTACGGTACTAGCGGCCGACCGCGAACTCGTACGCGTGGATCCCGTTTTACCCCCTTCATCTATCTTACGCGGTTTAGATTTTTTCATACAAATGTTTTTTCCCGTTAACCCCCGTTCCCGTGGGAATTTTGCAATATCCTGTTGTAACTAAGCTTTAAGTTTACTAAGGTACCTGCAAGCCAAATTTCAAGCGTCTAACTTAAGCGGTTTAGATTTTTCATACAAAAGGATTTTCCCGCTAATTCCCGTTCCCGTGGGAATTTCGGGAATTCCTTTCTTAGTGCACCTCTGCGTTAGGTACCTAAGCTACGTCCCTTCCTCAAGTGCCTACGTTTAGTCGTTTAGGGTGTGCGTTGATATGTCAGTCAGTCAGTTTCTACTTTTATACAATTTAGATTCTACGTATCAAGGAACCGCTTGAGCAGCTGTGACTGCTTTAGGCGGTTGCGGTCAAGCAGTCATCATCATCATCATCATCATTATCACGTAGAAATGAAAATGAAATTGTGACTTGTTGAGCTTTTAATACCAACTGCTCCAGCAGTTATCAATAGCAGCTTCAAGCTGTTAACTCATTTGAGTTTTTTATTTAAAAAACTTCAAGAGGATTTAAGACTATTTAATCAAAGATGTATAGAACGTTTCACCCACGAAGACGCGTCCCACCAATTTTTGGTCTTGGTCGCGCGGGGTGCGGGGAGTTTGATCCGAGCAATCCGTAAGGCATTATTGTAGTGTGCGTGTGCACTTATGGATAATTTAGCGTGTACCGATAACACTAAAAAATTAGCGGATGAATGGTGAGGCGTATCTTCGTGGATGAAACGATCTCTAATCACTGGCTAACTGCTCGAGATGTCCGTATATGGAGGGTCTAATATTACGTTTTTCTTGCAGGTCGTTCAATCCGCATAGTGGCTCTCTCGCTCCCTCTGGCGGACGCGCGGGACGTGTCCCAGTGGCTGGGATGCAACGCCAACGCGTCCTTCAACTTCCATCCCAGCGTGCGGCCGCTGCCGCTGTCGCTGCACATACAGGTACGGGTTCGAGTCCCTTTAGGGACACGACGTGAGGAATGTCCAATGATGAAAAAGTGTCTTTAGGAGACTCCTTAGTCGTTTCCTCCGAGTTCTGTGTAGTGTCTCCCGGTCACAAATAGTCTTTAAGAGACTCCTACTAGTTCCTATAGTGTTATAAAGGTCCATAAGTGTCTTTAAGTAGCTCCATGATGTCTGCCAAGTGTCTGATAGTCCCCAAGTGTCTGTAGTCGATTCCCCCAAGTCCCGGAAGGCACTGCACTGCCATCTGGTCTCGAAGTAGTCTTTAAGAGGATCCTGCTAGCCCCTATAGTGTTTTAAATGTTCACAAGTGTCTTAAAGTAGCTCTCTTGAGGTCTGTATAATGTTTTAAGCTCCCCAAGTGTCTGTAGTCGACTCTCCCGGTCCCAAAGTAGGCTTTAAGTGAATCCAAGAGGTCTGTATGTTGCCTTGAAGCTCCCGAAGTCTCTATAAGCATATGCTTGAGTTCATAAGTGTCTGTAAGCGACCATAGAAGCCCGTTTCATTCCCTACATCCCTCGGGTCTATAAGTGTCACGCAAAGTGGCTCTCTCGCTCCCTCTGGCGGACGCGCGGGACGTGGCCCAGTGGCTGGGATGCAACGCCAACGCGTCCTTCAACTTCCATCCCAGCGTGCGGGCCGGCCGCTGCCGCTGTCGCTGCACATACAGGTACGGGTTCGAGTCCCTTTGAGGCCACGAAGTAAATAAAGGCTATCGTTTTGGTACTTAGCAGTTGGCACTACTGGCGATTGACAGGGCTTTACTCTACAGTGTCGCCATCCTGTGAGTGCAAATGCGATATTCCTTCGTTTCAGCTTCAATTGGCGCCACTGTTTTCTCCACTAGCGATCATATTCATCACATCCGGCTCGAAGGACCAAAAATTTTTAGAGTTATATGCTACCTTGAGTGGACTTTAAAATAAAAAGGTTTCTATTTAAAATTGATATGAGAGAAGTATTACTCAGTAAGTTGGATATCAAATGTTATAAATTTCCTCTCATTTCAGGGATTCAACATATCCCACGCGGCGTCCCGTTTCGCCGCCATGACGAAACCGATTTACAACGCGGTCGTACGCCACGCCGGCTCAAAACCATGTGCCGTCTTTGTGCCATCCCGACGATGGGCCAGGCTGTTAGCTGCTGATCTTCTGGCTTTGGCAGCGGCTCAAAAGAGGCCCGGGCGGTTCCTGCATGCGAGACCCGATCTGGTGCAGCCGTTCTTGAAGCGGCTCAGTGATAAGGTACGTAACTACGTCATACCGGCTCAAAACCGTGTGCCGTCTTATTGATGGGCGCGGCTGTTAGCGGGTGATCTACTGGCATTGGCAGCGGCTCAAAAGAGTCCCGGGCGGTTCCTGCATGCGAGACCCGATCTGGTCTAGCCGTTCTTGAAGCGACTCAGTGATAAGGTACGTAACTACGTCATACCGGCTCAAAACCGTGTGCCGTCTTATTGATGGGCGCGGCTGTTAGCTGCTGATCTCCTGGCATTGGCAGCGGCTCAAAAGAGGCCCGGACGCTTCCTGCATGCGAGACCCGATCTGGTGCAGCCGTTTTTGAAGCGGCTGAGTGATAAGGTACGTGACTAAAAGTAGTTTACTTCTCGCAATGTTTGATGTTTTTTTTTTATAAGTAAGTGCTATTGGAATGCACTTGCAATTGGAGCTAGTGGAGTACTCCAATTGCAAGGCAGTGGTTGAGATTATGGCTGTATGATTGTTTAAGTTTTGTTAAAACCTTTTAGACTGCTAACAATGTATGATACGTAGACTTTAAAGCTTTTTGTTGTGTCTTGTTTACTGGTAATTTCTTCAAGAATGTCAAACTTCAATAGGCTCTAACCGCGGCTCATTCTAATGAGCTTCAAGACCCGATCTGGTTCAGCCGTTCTTGAAGCGGTTCAGTCACCATACGTGTCTAAATTAGATCGTGTTTCTTATTTTGACGTTTCTGATTTTAAAATGGCGGAATTTTGTTATGGTGAACGTGGCAGTGTGAACAACTTACACGCGCAGTGATCGCCACAGTGCACGCTATAGCGATGGCTCCTACGTATAAAGGCGAAACTGCCGCTTACGCCTTTTTCCAATTATTTAAGCAATGATTTCATTTTGCTCTAATCTATAACGTCAGTAAGAAAAAAAATTTTTTTTCCATTAGATACAAAATAAAATTTTAGGCAAATAGGCGTATGTGCAAAAATACGCCACGTATAAAGCCCAATCATACGATTCGTCAATCTATACGAGTAGTTGCTTACATAAATACATATTTTTTATAATCCAAATCATAAATAAAGCCATGAAAATATTTAGCAAATTGTTTTATTTATAAATTATGACACATTATATAGTTATTTAATTTTTAGCGTTAAGAGTCGCATCTCAAACTAATTTGAAAATTATAAATAACTTGAAAAAATCGAACTGCCTAAGGCATCGTGGGTTCAATTCCCGCCTTAGGCAGTTCGATTTTTTCAAGTTATTTATAATTTTTAAAAATATGACACATTATGTTAAAAGACCTAACTAAATCTCGAGCACAGTATATGGGCGTATTTGCGTTAAAACGTAATAACGATACATTAAACAACTTTTTCTAACTGATTTATTATTCTGGCAAGATTTCTACCTGCTAGCGGCCACCAACTTTCACGGATAGTGCTCAACATGAGTTGAGGTCCCGCATGAAGTAACGTTTTATGTTGATATTCAAACAAAAGTATTGTAAATCGACTTTTGCTACACAACAACATCGGATGTTGTTTATCAAACTCAAAGTTGGTCGCATTACAAAGTCGCCCGCCAACACGAATTACTTTAGAACTGTCTAAAAATACATTTAAACCGATAACTTTATTAGATTCCTTGCATTTTTCTAAAGGCAATCCTTTGAGTAAGCTGTTATAAAGCGAGGGAAACGATTGCATCTGTGCGAATCGACACAAAATTTGCTGCGACTCGCTCAACTCAGCGGCAGATAAGGAACCGGTTCGCCTCAGCTGTTTATTACGCGCGTTATAAATAAATCTAAGTAAGTAGGCCCCCGTACGTTTTAATCTAGAATCTATCAAAATCGAATATGTTTTCTGAATTGATGCATAAAGTACTTACGCTTGTAGTTTTTGTTTCAGGTAAGTCTTTAATATGTGTCATTGGTTGTTTACTAGGTGACCACTCAGAACAATGCAAGTAACTGGGACCATGCCACCATAAATTATTATTTTTGAGTTCGACAGCGTTTAAACCCCTTGACACTAAGTCAGCTGGGTTATTTTGGCTTTCAACATGAAACCACAATGTATCATTTGTTAGTTCATTAATTTCTGTGACTCGATTTTGGACAAATGTTTTAAGTAAATGCTGTGACATACTTAACCAACCAATGACGATGGTCGAATCTGTCCAGAAATAAACAGAATCGAATGTTAAGCTTAGAGAATCGATAATATTTTTATATAAGCGTGCACCTATCAAGGAACCACACAACTCCAATTTAGGAATGCTGATAGTTTTAAGCGGCGCTACTTTACTTTTTGCACATAGTAAATTCATTCGTGTAGTGTTATCATTCAGTATTAATCGTACATAAGCACAAGCGCCATAAGCTTCCTGTGACGCGTCTGAGAAAATATGTAATTCTAAACGTTTCGTATGAATACTCCTTATGAATCGTGGAATTTTTATTTCGTATAAGTATTTTTTAATTGAATCAACCAAATTTGTGAACTTAATTGAGACATCGTTTGGAACGGGATCGTCCCAATCGAGTTTACACAGCCACAACTTTGTTTTTAATTTTCGTTCTAATGCAATCATCATCATCATCAACAGCCCCCCACAGTCCACTGCTGGACCATGAGCCTCCTCCACTATAGTGGAGGGTCCCGCCATAATCTCCACGCTNTTTGCGAGACTACTGATAACATATTGCGTTTAGTCAATGATGACGCATCAAACGAAGTAAGTTGTGTTGTGAAATGAAATTCATCATCCCTATTGTGCCAGCCTAAACCCAATGTTTTGGTTTGAGTGTGTTCGCCTATAGCTAAATTCTTTATTTTCGCAGCGGTTGTGTCATCACAATTTAACGTCCACTTGCGCAATAAATAACCGTATTGGCCCAAAATGTATGACGTTTTTTCGCAGATCTCAATCAATGTTTTAGAATCGTCGTGTGATGTGAGAAGGTCATCTACAAAGAAGTCCTCCCGTATGACACGCGAGATCACTGCATCGTCGCATTCATGCGCAACCTGATGTAAACATCGTATACATAAGTACGGCGCCGACGCAGTACCATACGTTACGGTATTTAATTGATAAATGCCAATTGGATCTGACGCTTTTTCTCGCCACAGTACTAGTAGTAGATTTCGTTGATCGGGTTGTATGAGTGTTTGTCGATAAGCTTTTTCAATATCAGCACATGCAACCCATTGGTGTTGTCTAAAGCGCAACAAAATTGAAAACACCTCATTTTGAAGCTTAGGGCCAATATGCTGAATGTCGTTTAGTGACTTTTTCGTAGTTGTAGCACAGCTAGCATCGAAAACAACCCTTAGTTTGGTGGTCGTGCTGCTCTCACGAAATACCCCATGATGTGGGAGGAAATAATGTGGCCAAGTGTACGTATCTACTTTAGTCATATGACCTAACCTGCGATATTCATTCATGAAATCTGAATACATGCGTTTATAATCAGGTGTACGATCTAATTTTCTTTCTNATACCAAGTCCAGGCCAGGAAATCTTTAACGTTTTACATAAATTATTGACTTGGCCATCGCACTAAATAATTTAATTTACACGTGTTTTCATGCGATGGCCAAGTCAATAATTTATGTAAAACGTTAAAGATTTCCTGGCCTGGACTTGGTATTACATGGATCTCACAACTTTTTACCGTAGAGCAACTGAGTTGCGAGACTTGGTTTTTTTGACAAGTATTGTTTTTGATGGGTAAATAGGTCCTGAAATGACCCAACCTAATTTTGAATCTTGTAAATATAATCCCGATGCTAATCGTATTTTATTTTCGTTTAAAAGATCCCAAAAAACATCCACTCCAATCAATAAATCAACTTCAGAGGGTATATTGTAAGTAGGATCTGCAAGTTGAATATTTTCAGGTATTCGTATTGATTCTACGTTAATATTCATTGTTGGCATGAATGATGTTATATTACATGGCAAAACATAACACCGAATAAGCGTATAAAAATCGTTTAATTTTGATCGTATAGTTAAATCGCATAATTTATTGGATTGTGTGACCGACTGTCCCACTCCAGAAATTTGAACAATGGACTGTATATAATTCGTGTAATTTATTCGTTTACAAAACGCTTCTGATACAAAACAATGCTGACTACCGCTATCTAAAAGCGCGCGGGCTGTGTGTCGCATATTGTTTTCGTCGATCACTTCAACTAGCGCGGTAGGTAACAAAACTTGTTCTGTTTGAGTAGTCAGCTGAGCGGTGTTTAAATTATCGTGACAATGCGAACCTAAAGATGAATGCATTACGGTCGACTTTATTTGAGATGTGCTTGACTCAGAGTTAACATTGCCAATTGTATTTTCTTTTAATTCTTTATGTAACAAGCTATTGTGTTTACATTTACACTGTTGGCACGGCCCGAAATAACAGTTAGTTATAGAATGGCCACCGCGCAGACAATTATGGCAAAGTTTCTTTTCATTTACTAATTTGTACCTATCCTCGATTGATAAATTCAAAAACATACTACACATATATAAAGCATGATTTCCGCGACACATCTCACAACAACGGTTACGTTTAGTCGTTTTCCCGTTATTTGTAGCTACATAACTCTGAGTGTGTGTTTGTGCTACCTGCGGTTTCGAATCATGAAATTGTTTACTGTGATATTTATTGTAATGAGTATTAGGGGGCTTGTGAAAACTATGAGCACTATTTGCGTTACTATTAACGTTTACCATTTCCAACAAATCAGCTCTATTTCTCAGGAATGTTAACAAATCGTTTAATATTAATTTACGTTTAATTTCTTGGCCTTGAAAACCAGAAATAAGTGTTCCCTTATAAGTTTCCCATTCGCGTTCGGTCGAAGAATCAAGTTTGCAGACAATTAAGTATATAATTAGTGTATCCCATGATTCTGTGGGCTCGCCCAACGATTTCAATGAACGTAAATTTCGCAAAATAGAATCTATGAGTTTTCTAATGAGCAAAGGAGATTCCTTATTTATATTAGGTATAGAAAATAAGGCTTTGACATGGTTGTGCACCAAAAGTCGATCATTTTGAAATCTATTGTGTAACAATTCCCATGCGTGGGTATAATTTTCTGCTGTGAACTCTAACGCACTTATAACCTGTAAAGCACCACCGCTAAGTGATGACCGCAAGTAGTGAAATTTATGAATCGCATTTAAATCTGCCCGTCCGTGTATCATCGTTAAATACGAATTTTTGAATTCGAGCCAGTCATCATACGAACCACTAAAAGAGGGTAATTTGATGTCAGGTAATTTAATTTGTAACGATGCATTTTTGTCACTTGAAACCTGCGTATTTACCGAATTTTGGTTATTACTTTGGTCTTCTATAATGACTTTAGCGACAGAAACACTTCGAAAATATTGTTCTTCGAAGCTTTCGCGGTACTCAATATTTATTGAAAGATCATTATCATCACAAAACTGTTCGATTTTATCTTGAATTTTGTAAAACTCATCAATAACTGATTCCAACTTCAAAATTCTTAAATTTAGTTCAACTGCTTGACATTTTGTAATAACCAAATTCTGAAATTTTAAAATATAGCTTTCAAAAGAAGTTACACGACCTTTCAGAATTCCTCTTTGTTTTTTGAGGTCTGAAACGGTTAATTTAAGTTCTCTAGAAGGCGAATGACTACCCTCTCTTGACTTTGGTACATTCAGCTTTGATCTATCGCTATCCTCGCTCATTTTGAGAAGAATTTAGGAAACAAAAGGTACTTACAATCGTATAGATCACCCCGACGCTCGTTGCAATAGGCAGACCCGGCACCCACCAACGCGACAACGTAGGTAGGTAGTTGTAACGGTTGCAATATCGACTGAAATCCGCAAACACGACACAATATTAGCACAAATCGATTAAAATAGGAAGGGAAAGGAGTGGTTTAACCTGACCGTTATTCCAGAGCTGCTTCTTTCACAGGGTTTCTCTCTTGACACGCAACAGGTATCGACTTCTGTGGTATCTTGAATCCCGTCAGCTGGTGCGATGGAACATGTCATCCGGCTCGAAGGAACATGTTTCGAGCTCAGGCTTTCGAATATATGAAGAAATAAGGGTCTCTTCAATGACTAATTATTATTGAAATTACGGTTTTAACGTTTATTTAAAGTGACAGGTTTACAGACTGTATGCAACGAGATCAAATTGTCGAGTGTTTTAAACGTTCGATTTTAAGTTGACAGGAGGGCGGCGCGGCGCGAAGTTAGCTGCGATCTTCACTCTGGTTCCGCGCCTTTGACGTCATGAGTTGTTTTCTTGCGCCCATAGATGGCGCTAACAACCGTGTTTAATTGTCTCTATAATTATTTAACCTCATCATCCTCACACTCAACCCGACACATCCATACACGCTCCACATTCCCTATAACGTTTCGTACAAGACGTTATATAGTTATGACGTCACGTCTATGTAATTTGTATACATCGAAAGGATTTCTCGTAAAATTTTATTTCCCCAACGCCTCTCAGAATGCCTCTTTCTTGAAAAAGCATATAATGTCCGCTCTTGGATACTACCATATTATCGACTCTATGAGGTGGAAAAAGTGATTTCACTCGATTATTTCTAAACTATACAAGATATCGAAATACCGGTTACTGATCCTGAAAGTTCTTCACGAGCTCTATCAAACGGTATCAATAAATAGGTTACAGAATAATCTGGATCTATCAAAAAATTCAATGTTTCCAGTTTCATGCCCAATTTTTACTATTGTATTATTTGATAAGTTTAAGCTGTAACTGACCACATATTTTAGAGGTATTTTTGATTGTTTCCTTAGCGCGTCCAGGCACGACGCGGCCGCCGGAATCTGAGGAAAAGCGGCGGCGCTGCGCCGAGCGCGAGGGACGCCGCCGGGCCCGCCGTCGCCGCCGCGAGGACCACGCCGCCGCCACCGGCACTCAGCCGGCGCACAGGTCATTCATCATCAACAGCCCTTTACAGTCCACTGCTGGACTATGAGCCTCCTCCACTATGGTGGAGGGTTTTGCCATAATCTCCACGCTTGGCAGGCGGGTTGGAGATCGCAGTTTAAAAGATTGATGTTTTTCAGAGAGCGCTGCTGCCCATTCTCTGTTTGATGTGTAGTCCCTAAGTCGACGACACCCGCGGGAAGAGTAGGGGTTGGTGACAAATGTATTCTACTCTGCCGTCACCACACGGCTAGGTCATTACATAATATAAATACACAGTTAATCAAATTCTTTATTTATTTATTTTATTTGGTGCACAAAACAGGGATACAACCATAACATACAAAACGTTTAAAGCAGGTTATACAGTATAACTTGTTGCAGCTCCAATAACAAGTGCACACAACATACTAATCGAGTTAACAATATACATAAATTATAAATAGAAAAATAATTATTTAATGTTAATTAATAACGAAAATAGGTTATTAATAAATATAATGAAATTCAAATCAATAATTCTCTAAGAAATAAAGATGAAAGATGAATTTTCTCCACAATCTAAAGGGTTACAATGTGAGGTGATTATCTTTAATTAGGACTACAATTAAATATAGTAGACAGGCACTTAGATTGCGAGAGACTGGTGCCTAAGCTAGGCTACGAGCCTGTATTAAAGAGCATCAGAACTCTCCGCTCTCGATATGACTGATGTGATAACAAATCTATTAACTTAGTAATCCTTTACTTTCCTGATTGTTTTTGACGGTTAAGCTTTAGATCAGCGGTTCCCAAACTTGTCTACTGCCCACTTTGAGAATAAATTCTTTTTAGCGCCCCCATTTGTAGTCGAGTGGCGAATGCTCAGTCGGTGTCTAAGAGTCCTCCTAGTAAATTACGCCTCCTAAGCCTCTACACAACGTCCCGATTTTTTTTCTGGGTCTCTTACCGCCCCCTTTAAGCCTGCAGCGCCCACAAAGGGGCGTTATCGCCCACTTTGGGAAAGACTGCTTTAGATCCTGGCTACACAACCGCTTACTATTATAATAAGTCAAGAATGATGTGGCTGGTTGTTCAAGACAAAAGATGAATAATATTGCGAGCAACACCAACCAGGTAATAATCCTGTGTTGCCATAAAGCCATAAACGAAAGGTTGCCAGCCCAACTTATTTCAAAAGATTTTAAAACCCTATGAAAGGTTAAGCTGCAATCTATATATATAAAAGAAAGTCGTGTTAGTTACTTCGCTTATAACTCAAGAACGGCTGAACCGATTTAGCTGAAAATTGTCAGGGAGGTAGTTTAGAGCCAGGAGAAGGACATAGGATACTTTTTATCCCGTTCGAAATTAAAAAAAAGTCTGCTTATTTATTGCCATTAAGGTGGAACAAAGTTCGCCGGGTCAGCTAGTTTAAAATAAATTGATGTTTCCCAGGAAAAGATTTTGTTCTTGAAAGCGTGGTATTTATTCGCAGGGATGGCGACTCGAGCGACGACGAGTTGCCGCCTGCCGAACTCCACCACTATGAGCGAGAGCGAGGTATGAAAAAAAAAAGATGTTATACTGTTCTCTTGTTTTATTTTTATTTGAGCATAAGCTGATATGGCCGCGTACCGGAAAACGCAGCGTGGGACGTCCACCCACAAGGTGGACCGACGACATCATAAAGGTAGCAGGAAAGCGGTGGACGCAGGCCGCTACCAACCGGGTAACATGGAAAGCATTGGGGGAGGCCTATGTTCAGCAGTGGACGTCCTGTGGCTGAGATGATGACGATGATGATGATGATGAAGCTGATTGTAGATCCGTGCGAAATTGCGATAGGTATTTTTCTCATATTGTGTGGGTTGTTTGTTACAACTGCTGACAGACTTTTCGCCGCTAGGGGCGTGTAAAATACTGAATCATAATAATATACATTTAATTTGTTGATTTGATTGTCCTATTAAAATAAATAAATAAAACTGGGAGCAATTACACAAAATGATTTTCAATTAAGTGGCCTTTCTGGGAACGGTATCCAAAATTTCTGGGTACATTCAACCATAACTATTATGCCGGTCGCAGACCAAGACCAAGAACCTGAGTTGGTTTAGTTTAGCTTGCATAGTTGCCGCAGTTCTCCATAGTTGTGTGCAGACAGACTGCACACACTGGAAAACTGCGTCAGCTATGCGAGCTAAGCTAAACTAACTTAGCATAGTTCTTAATCTGTAACCGGCACAAGATCACAGAAGCCATTTATTACTCTTCTTTTAATTAAAAATAATATAAAATAGTGACTTGAGTTTCTTGCGCTGCTTCTTCTCAGCATTGGCCCATTTATTGTCCCGAAGCAGTGGTAGGGTTAATACTGGGACGTGTAAAAGTGCGTTAAAGTTTTAAAAGCCTATTTGCAAAAATAAATAAATATCCTGGGACATTTTACACTACGCTTCTAGTCCCAAACTAAGCAAAGCTTGTACTATGGGCACTAGACAACGGATATAAACATACTTAAATACTTACTTTTTTTGTAAATACATCATATTATACATAGTCACACCCAGACCCGTCACAGACATTAAAATTCAGCATTTCAATTTCTGCCCGACCGGGAATCGAACCCGGGACCTCTCGGCATAGTAGTCCGTTCCGAACCACTACACCAAACGGCCGACAGTCTTATGAGTTTTTCATCAAACAGATGCGATCAAGTCGGGCAGGGAGCAGCTATTCGCGGATGCTTTGCCCGCGTGGCGCAGCGTTCGCGGCGTTTGCGCGCGCTTGGCTCGCTTCCGGCGCCGCGACCCTACGCTTTATAGTGACGCCTACGTCGCCGCCTGCCTGCCGCGGCTGTTGGCGCCGTATGTGCGCCATCAGGTCAGTTAGAGATAACAATGCACATCTCTGAGAATCCCTTCATACTAAAGCCTGGTCCGTGAGCACGTAGAATTTTGTCCAATGACCCCAAGCTACCCATCCTTATTGCTCGCGCGTAATTATGTTGCTGTCGCGCTCGCACACTCCCTGCGGGCGCCCGTCGCACAGTCGCGCTTGGGGTCATTGGACAAAATTCTACGTGCTAACGGACCAGGCTTTAGCATTCGATGAAAGAAAGTTAGTCGCGATTTTGTGAAAAATATGATTGGCAGGTAATTAACGTGTAACGTTTTATTGCCCCATCGGCAGCGAGTCTTTGACAGAACTATGATAGCTCACAAGATAGGTCCTAATAATTGGTGCTTATTGTCCGTAGGGCATATCTTTTCTTAAGGCGATTAGTGTCCTCAATCCGCGCTAAATGGGCATTTTGTAAAGCCTACTCCTCTTTTACTGCTGGACAGAAATAGTTGAAAAAAATATATGTTAAGCCCCGATTACGGTAACTTTTATAACGTCTACAATCCAGACGCGTTTCTGATTCTGCGATACGATTGGTCAAAACAGCTGACGTACGCTGTTGAACGACCAATCGTATCGCAGAATCGAGAAGCGTGTCTGGATTGTTGACGTTAAAAATTACGTAATCGGGGCTCAGGTTCCGCGCCTTTGACGTCATGAGTTGTTTTCTTGCGCCCATAGATGGCGCTAACACCTATATAACTTGTAAATTTTAATCAAAGCAAGAAAAACTATACTCTTTCCTAAATAGAGTGAACATAATGAATAAAATAAAAATAAATGACACGTACATTACATGCACAAAAAAAATTGACGTAGGGTAAACATTAGGCAAAATCAGGTCATTTTTTTTACTGCATGCCAAGCATTTTCGGAATGCATAGGTAACACCTGTAAGATAATTTCGTTATCAATTTAGATGGACTAAAATGTACGTCTTTTTTGCAGCTAGTGCAATGACATCAGGCTAATTTGGCATGTCAGAGCCTAGAATACATGTCACTGTTTGCTTTACCACCCGTTTCGCGGTATTTTTTACAGACTACCATCTTTTACATAATATTATGTTCAAATATCAATATATCATTAGGAAATGTCTTTTCCTAGGTTGTGTGGCCCAGGATCCATCAGTTTTACGAAAAATTAGTCGTCTAAAACAAAAACGCCAGTTTCAGTATGGTACAAAAATGTCACGTAGTCTGCGACGTGCGGTCCCACAGACCGCTGTTGAACTTTAAATCGAATTATCTTATTAAAACTGCCCTCGTCGATGTAACCACTACCTGTAATGGCGTTTGGGCAACTAAACTCGAAGGTACTGAGACGCTCGGGACACGGGAGTAAGTAGAACATTGCAATCCAGAAATTTCAAAAACCGGAGCGGTCTGTGAGACCGCACCTCGTCGGTTAAAGGTTAAGGTTCGATTTAAGAGATAGTTGATATGCAAGGATAGTCATAGGATAGTTTTTATCCCGGTTTTTGTATTGGAGACTTGCGCGGGGTTAAGTATCTTACTGTGACAGACCGAAAAGCAGGCGTGCTAAGACGCGGGTAAAAGCTAGTTTATTAAGAAAAAATAACTGTGATACGTCATCTATATTGGTATAAATAAGTAAATAACTATGATAACAGCGCAAAGATACCGGTTGTGCGTCAAAGAGCCATATTTGAGGAAATTTAGTTTTTACATCTGTCATAATAAACAAGCAATAAATTACGGAATTAAGTGTACTTATGTTAATTAAGTTGGTACAGCTGGCCAATAAATTATTTCTCATGTGACGTGATACCACCACGGTTTGGGCAATTTGACGGATTATGCAATTTAAATTGTTACCATTCTAATTTGTCACCTAGAATGTATAAATTAAAGGCTGTTTTTTTCAGTTGCAAAGGTCAAAAGTTTATGAATTTGTTTTTGGCGTTCATGAGCTTGCGATATAAAAGTAGGTATGTAAAGATACTGCACTACTACTACTCTAAACACTAATTCTTGTGGTGTGAATAAGTTTAATTTATTTTCAGATGAACAATGAACATATTTTAGTAAGCATTTTTAACAAAAAACTAACAATCTCTTTCTGCCGTCGTAAGAATAGCTTTATTTATTCGTTGTAACCTTTTATTCCCATCAAAAAAGAACATTCTTCAAAACCAACACGGTTATTACCAACAAAGTAACTCTGACGTCACGGCGCGGACGCAGCCGCGGCGGAAAGCGGCCATTACACAGTTGATATAAAACCGCAATACAGCTAATGGCACCGTACATTATAACCGCGTGAAATTAGAGGCAATTCGTTTTATTGGTACTGCCTAACTACTGTTTTAGTTGGGTAATAACGTTGGCTAATTTAGGGTGCAATGGATTTCTGTTGTGTGACAGCTCGCGGTATAGCAGCATTTGCAGTGCACTATTTAAATGTAACCTAAAACTAAGGCTTGGTTGCACCATCTTACTTTAACTTCGATCAAAAATCTGTCAAACTCCATACAAAAAGCACTGGTTATCGTCATAGTTACTGTCAAAGAAAGATGGTGCAACCCACCCTTAATATTGAAGTGTTAATCAAAAGTAAAATGTTGAATCATTTTAATTGTAAGCTTATAGGAAGGCACTAATCTTATTACTATTTTTAGAAGAATTCAAATCAGTTAACTAAAGAGACAATGGCACAAAAATAGTGTAGGTAAGGCTAGGTTGTACTATCTTACTTTAATTTTAACAAACGACAAAAATCTGTTAATCTCCATACAAAAACACCGATTATCGATAAATTACTGTTAATGTTAGGCGGTGAAACTGAGCATAAGTGTATAATAAAATGTAATTATAAAATTGAGTTTTCCTCAAAAGTGTTCCTTTCATTCAAAAGATAAATGCTCTTAATATTACCATGTTGGCGAACACGGTGAATTTTTTACGATTGTTTTTTATTTGTATTTATTTTTATGTAACCATAATTTTAAAAAAACTCGTTCCAATCATTAGCAGCTAATTTTAAAAACATTAAGAAGCGATTATACGTCATCCTATAATGAATAGGCGCGCCACCATTTTTTATTTTTCTGAAAAAAGTGCACCCTAATCTATCGAACGATTATCGGGCGCCATAACACTTATGCGGGATAATAAAAAATGCTAACATGGACGCTGTTTTTAATATCCAATATACATTCTTTCAATGTGTAGGTTTTATTATTTACTGACGCAACTTAGCTGTAGAAACTACACTACTAAGAGCTACGCTACGAGCTATTTGGTATATTTTTTCCTCATTATCATACTTGTATTTAATAAAAATAAAATAACTTTCTAGCAAACACAAAAAAAGAACAATTTAAAAATAAAAAAAACAAAAAAAAGATCTCTCCGGCGGGGAATCGAACCCCGGTCTCCCGCGTGACAGGCGGGGATACTGACCACTATACTACCGAAGACTTGTGAGTGAACGTCGAAATTATTGATACGCTTTGGAACGCAACACCGTGAATAAACAGCTGTAACTGATAGCAACATTTTAACCGATTTTAAAAAAGAAAGTCAACTTCTAAAATATGTAACATAGTCAGAATGTCACAGTTTTTGTATGTAATCTTTTATAGCATAAAAATCTAGTAAACTAAAGTGTCAGTAAATAGACGTTTATTTTCTTGCCAAATAATATCAATCGAGAGTAAAACATGTCGTATAAATTGTATAATTGCTGCAGTAAAATGTTGTATTTCAAATAAATTAAGATTTTTATGGATCAATAAAATCAGGTTCCTTTACATTAAATAGTTGTTCATAGCAGAAAATTGCATACTCAAATTAACACCCATATAATTTTGATATTTCAAACATTGATTACATTTTAAAAGCCGTTCATAATAATTTCTAGAGTGGGTTTATGTGTGTAGCGGGAAAATAATTCTAAGGAATAAATTATTTAAAACTTAAAATTACTTGCTGAAATACCTACCTAAGTAATTGTATATTATTATTCTTCATAATATCTTTTCTCGTAAATGTTAAATTATTTTAATATAATAAAATATTTTAGGCAAAAAAGTCCATGGCCTTCGGTAAATACTTTGATATTCAAACTAGTTTTGATTGAGGTAGTTTTTCATTTAAAAAACAGATTAACAAAATAATATAGACAAGATAATCTTAAACAAAATATTTACTTACATAGAATTTCTTAAATAAAATATTTTTTTATTCATATTACATTAATTTATTTTGTGTAAGTAAATCTATTATTTCATTTGACCCGCTATACCAAAGACTACATCTCTACAAGTTATTGGAGTGAAAGGATATTTTTATCACTAACAATTTGGACTGCGAATTTCCAAATTAAACTTTATCTTAATAACATTATAATAATCGCCGAATTATAGTTTCCGTTTCCAATTCGGATTCATTGCTAATGCTGACATTATTGGGTTAGTTTAAAATGGAAATAGTCTTCTAAATAATCCAAATTAATGTTTTTTGGTATAATTAATTGGCTTGAATTAAACCTCTGTCTATTTTAATTAATATACACATACAATTAAATGAAACTTTGTATAAATGAAAATACATAGGTAGGTATCTCGTTAAACCACTCCAAATATGTGCAGCCAAAATCTATAGTTTGTAAACTCTTTAATTGTGTAATTTTTGTGTCTATAATGACTTACAACATAACCCTCCTTCTGGTGCAGTTGGATAATAATCATCATTCATCTTCACATAGCTCTAGCCCATAATTTTTATGAACCCTAATAATTTTGTACGCAATTCACCGTAACAATAATACGTTATTGTAATAGTGACGTGTCTATCAATCAACAATGTCACCATCCGAAATATCGAGTGACCATTCGATTCAGTCTAGGGCCACTCACCGCCCCTCGGCGAAGTGACGGGCTGTCACAATAACCGTCATGTGACAATACGTCACGTGACGTCAAGTGACGTGTGACAAGTCGGTATTGTTGCGAT